AATACATGTCGAATACAAATACATCGAAAAACATCGTTTGAGAGTTATTGATTATAATACTGTATTCGATTGTTCACTGTACACATATGTACATACATACATACAAATGTATTTGTGTGTGTACGGTAACTGTAAACTTTTGGCATTTTTCGTATGCAATTAACAGCCGTAAATTATCAAAACGAAAGAAGTTTTGCGAGCCAATAACTTGTTGTTGTTGTTTTAAAAATTTTGATTTGAAAACATAGAACACTATTTATTACAATTAAACAACAGTGTTCGATGGCCCACTGCATACATACAAACCTATATATGTATATAAGAATGTATGTGCGTACATACATACTTATTGATGTACATATGTACATACTATACATACAGACGTATGTATATATGTATGTACGTATGTAATACATATGGTGCTGGTGTAATTCATAATGCGAAATTCTTTCTAAGGGGAGCAATGTCCCCCCTGACCAACCTGCGTACGCCCTTGTAGTCCGTTGTCCTAAAATCCCTTATGCCAAATGTACTAAACAAAGAAAAAATAACATAAAAATGTTTATGTTATAATGTTAATAATTTTTAATTAATTAACATTTCTTGCCCTGTCAGTGCAAGACGAATGTACTTTTATACATATGTATGTATGTATATATGTACATACATTTGTACAAATGAACATTCACACATTAGTGTCTCACATTTTGCTTTGGCTACTTCAACCGTTTGCACGCAACTACACGAACAGCTGCTTGTATATATGTATGTGTGTGTGTATGTATACTTAGTTGTCCCCAACTGTTTGATATTTTGTATTGTTTGTTCTGCCTGCATTTGTAAAATGCATATTTTAAAAATCGTTAAATGCAAAGTTGTAATTTTAGTTACGTAGATTATATTACCCAAATTTGAAATCGATCGGACAAAATTTATAACACAAACTTTTCATTTGAAAAAATGAATAAATATTAAAACCCCAATAATTCAAGCTCCAACACAAATTTCGAAAAACCGAGTATGCAGTTTTGTTTGTATTCTTTTATAGATTATAAAAACCAAATTTAAAGTTGATCGATTCAGAAATGCAGAATTTTCAAACAAACTTTGGAGCTACTTTTCCCCCCTTTGGAGCTCGAATTTTCCAAAATCCCTTCTTAGTGCGCATCTACACCATGATAGGATACTTGAGCCCAGTTTTCAGTTTCCTAGCTTTTACCGTTTGGGCTGTGGGGTGTTGATTGTGTTTCAATTTTTCCACGGAAAACCCCCCCTTTTTCATGCCCCAGGAAAAATGGTGAAAAACCAAGTATACAGTTTTTCTTGTATTCTTTTTGAGAGTATACAAACTAAGTTTGAAGTTAATTGGATGAAAATTGTAGATTTTTCATACAAACGTTGGAGCCCGTTTTCCCCCCTTTGGCGTTCGAATTTTCCAAAACCGCTTCTTAGTGCTCACCTACACCACTGAAGACAACATGTATCCAATTTTCAGCCTCCTAGCTCTAACCGTTTGGGCTGTGCGTTGATTGCACATAGCTTTTCGTTTACCGAATTTTCCACCGGAAAATCATTATTATTCAGGCCGCAGGAAAAATATTGAAAATCCAAGTATACAGTTTTTTTTTGTATTCTTTGTGAGAGTATACAAACTAAGTTTGAAGTTAATCGGATGAAAATTGTAGATTTTTCATACAAACGTTGGAGCCCGTTTTCCCCCCTTTGGCGTTCGAATTTTCCGAAACCCCTTCTTAGTGCTCACTTTCACTATAAGAGGGATCTTGTGTCCAAATTTCAGCTTCCTAGCTCTTACCGTTTGGGCTGTGCGTTGATTGCCAATCAGTCAGTCAGTCAGTCAGTCAGTCAGTCAGTCAGGACAAACTGTTTTATATATATAGAGATGAATATTTGATTAGCGTCACAAGTCATAAAGTAATTTTCTTTCGAAATAAGAGTTTGAAATGCTAAGGAAATTTTCTTTACTCGTCTAACCTGAATTGGAGCACTGAATTGGGTACGTACATTATTAGCATAAGACATATACAGATATCGAACTTAATCTGCCTATTTCTGTATAGAAAATAGATGTGAAAGGATAAACAACGTGTAGGAATCCAGAGTAGGAACAAAATCAAATAGTTACCCAATGTATTCAGAATAAGCGCGAACAAGGTCTAGCAGATCTAATTGCTTTAGAGTGGACATAAACAAACTAATGACTCAACTGTAATCAATCAACTGTAACATGGTATATTAAAGTTACTCTCAACCCAAATCAGACAATGTTTAAACAGCACGCACATCGCGTCCTATTCGTCGAAGACAAAGTTTTCATATGATATAATGGAAGCTTATACAGAACACTAAAGTCAAAACGAATTCTTTTTCTAAAAATCGACAATAAACCTCAATCACTTTTTCGAAACACTCTACAAAACTATTTGCTATTTGTTTATATTTTTTTAAGCAAAAGTAACTGTAATTTTTAAAAATTATCAAATGAAAAAGTAATTATAGGGATTTATTAATAAAGTTTTACTCATAAAACTGTTCAACTCATGTTCAACTGTTCCAGCTATAAGAAACGCTATTGTAAGAAAAGCCAATAGTAGAGTACTTTGAATATTTTTTGCGTGCATTTTGTTTTTCTATTATTTATGTGTTTGTGCCCCAAGTTGTGGCACGTAGCGAGATTTTCTGACTGCCTAACCCATTGGCCCGCTTGCCCTCCCTTGCTCTGCCCTTGCCCCGCCCAGCATAGACTAAGGCCTAAACCCATTCTGCTTGGGTCGGTTCTGTTCTTTTCTCACTTTTCGGACCGTCATGTGCTGCCTGGACCCGAAAAATGCTGCAACGGCTTATCGTCAGTGTCCCTGTTGTGTTATTGTTGCTGCCGTTGTTGTTATTGTCATCAGTGTTGTTGTCTTATGGTTATGTACTATACGAGTATGCCTCTGTTTGTGTGTGTGTGTGTGCCGCAGCCATGTGGCAGTTTATGAAAACTGCAGCAATTGTTGGCTTTCGTTTCGTTTGGCGCTTGCAAGTACCCTGGAGTGCAATGTCCTTGTTTATGCGCTGACACTCGTTGCTATTGCTTTAGCTGTTGTTGTTGTAGTTGTTGTTGCTGTTGCTGTTGATGCGGCTCCCTACTTGGGCTGTTTTTGTTTTCGCTGTCATTGTTGTTGTCCCACTTGATTGAATTGTGCGCTTGATGTGGCTGTGGCTTGGGCTGTTGACGCTACCCTTGCCGGTTGTCCTTGTTGTTACATATTTTCCACACACACACACATTCATATACTTATGTATGTATATGTATATGTGCTTGTCGTTAGCAACACAGTCGCCAAACTTTAATTAACTTTTCTGGCCAATTTTCTAAACACCTGTTTTTTTTCCTCCGACTGATTTCGTCTGGCCAGGACATTTAACCTGGAGCTGTGGCACATGTCGAAAGGTTAAGTTGTGGTCGCAGCAAATGCGGCAAAAACTAATTCAACATCCACTTTAAATAACCCACACAGACACAGACATACACACACACACACACACGCCCACATCCACACTCATGTTGTGTGCTTGTATGTATGATTTTTCTTTGAACTCTCGAGTGACTTTAAATGGCAACGACTTTTGGCAGCTGTGAGCTAACGGTATTACGTGTGACAGCTGGCGTCACTGCGGTTTATGTTAAAAAGGCAAAACTCGGCTCACAACACACTCACACACACAAACACAAACATATACAAGTGAACAGCCGCCACCACACACATGTACGCGTCTGTATCTGTGCACACAAATTTATGTTTATGTTAACAGAGTGTAGCCATTCAAGTGGCAAACCAAAACAAGTCAAGCAGTCAGTCAGACTGGCAGCCAAAATGACAGTCCGAGGGGCAGGCAGGGCGGGAGGAGGATAAGTGGGCAGGCAACACGTGCTCCATCCCCAAAGTGTATGCAGTCATGTGCACAATGCCATAAACGTTGTAAGCGAGCGCGAGCTTAGAGATAACAGAACAACAAGCGAACACCGCCGATGCTCATCCAAATGATAATGACAATGTTGCTGATGATAATGATGATGATGAGGACTATGCTGATTATATCAAATAACATTACACTGACCAAAATTATACTTTCAATACCAAATCTCAAATATGCAAGCACATGGAAAGAGTTATCCAGAAGGTGCTTCTTTTTAAGTGCAATTCTAGTTGACTACAAAATCATGAAAATAGAAATAAATAAATAAACCGACTAACAACTCACCCTAATTAAGTAGTCCCAGGTAGCTAGTAAGGACTAAGGAAATGTTTAAAAATGTTTACAAATAATAAGAGGGTTTATATTTTCTTTTGTTAACAACAACACCTGGCTTATAATTTATTATTATTTTTGGGAACATTTTAGCGCCAACTTAACTTGAAAATGAAAGATTATGCAAAAGTTTTTTGCAAATTTTATGAAACACTAGCCGTAGGTATTGAAGTCGTATTAAAATAAAATCGAATGAATAGTTTACTTTAACATAGCGAGAATGCAAACAAAACAGAAAGCACTTGCATTATATTGACGTTATTCCATAATGATAACGAATTGTTCAGACTTCCCACAGATATTTCAAATGTCATAAGACACAAAGATCTTTTCCCGAACAACCTTTGACCGGGATACCTCATAACCTTTTTACTGTTCTGTTTCGCCACTGAATCAATTTTATACGAAAATATCATATTTATTGTATAAATCGAATCGAAGTGTACTACACTTTATATATCAAGGTAATTGAAAAACTACACATGTATAATATACATTGAACGAATTTATTTACATATATTTAGAGTGGTGCAATATTTACCTAAACTTGATACTACTTAGAAATTAGCTTCGGACAAAACTAATTATGCCTACATATGTACTTAGAAATCTTTAACCAGTTTTATAGGAAATGCCTTTCTAAATTTTTTGGAAATTCGAGTATATTTAATGAAACAACAAAGTCGTGATCGAACCAAAAATGAATTTATATAATCAATTACATATTAAATACTGAAACTCAATCTAATTAGTTTTATTCCCCTTCTTCCTTTGGCTTATTGGGTGGTACCTCTTCGCCCTCCCCCTCCTCCTCCAATAGGAAGGAGCTGCGCTGGGACTCCTGCTGCGATTCACGTGCACGCTTCATAAAAGCCGCATACTCGTTAAACGTCAAATTAATATCGAATGGAGTGCGTCTGAAGATATATGGCGGTGTATAATTGTTCTGTATGGGCCAGTAATTGCCATCGTCATCGGTGGTGAAGGGCACCTGCCCATATAAATCGGAAAATTGTCGAAGTGTATTATAAAATCGGGTCGAGGCTAGCACCAGTTCTATACGCTGAATTTCAGGCAACAATTTGCGATATATTTCCACGGGCAAATTATCCATAATACCCGAGTCAACAGCCTTAGGGGTACTGCTATCAGATAATTGTGAATCATCGGTCGATTCAGTTGTGCTCTCCGTTTTGTCAGACTCGGAGGACTCGACCGGTGCTGGCTCCATGCTCTCCGCCACCATGCGGCATATAGTAAATAGCTTATCCTTAATGATCTTGTGCTGCTTACCCATCAGATATTCGTCATTGGGCGTAGAAGTGGGAAACTTCTCATTTATATAGGCACCAGGAATTCGACGTGCAATTATCTCTTTCGTGTATAGCTGTATTGAAATAGAAATAAAAATATATACACGAATTATTTTAGTTTTAGAAAACCTATACTCAAAAGATGACAGATTTCAAATTTATAGCGATTTCGAAACATTAGAATAATGCATTTTGCATTTTTGTAATAAGGTGCTGATTTCTAAACAATTTCTTCCCCTTTCTTTCTTAATAAACATTGTAATTGAAATTACGAAAGATAAGAGATAAAGATCAATAATCTTGTAAAACTTTACCTCCTTAATGTAATCCTCTACAAGAAAAACGCGATTATCGCGCCAGAACTCATCGATGGTCAGTAATAGGTCTCGACAGAAAAGTCCCATCATATCCTCGCTGCCCTCCAGCATTAGCATGCTGTACTCTCCCATGTACAGAAACAAACCGCACATGGGATCTGGTGTGAACATTTTACGCAGACAATTGTCGTGCAATGCTTCTAGGTGTTCCTTAAAAACTATGAAAAAGTCTTTGGGCTCTTCGATCATATCTACCGAAGGTTGTTGTGGTGGCTCTTCTGATGGTGCCTCTGGTTCGTCGGAATCACCCACATCGAAGCGAAATGTTTGTGTTAGAACCTCTTCGTCATCCTTATTTGGCCGTTGTACCTCAACTTCTGCATTCTGCTGCTCTGTTTCGCCACCGTCTGCTGTATCTGGTGATGATAATCGTGTTTCGCCTTCCCCTTCAACGTTTTGATTCGCTTCGGCTGCTTCCTCGACCTCAGCTTCATGTTCTTCGGTTTCCGGCTTTTCCGTATCTGCTCCCACGACTTCCTCTCCATTATCGTCTATCGTACTACCTGTGCCCGCAGTGCCCGCAGTGCCCGCCGTGTCCCCTGTACCAACCGTACCCACAGTGGCAGTAGTCGCAACTGTTCCTCCCGATATAAGACTAAAACGTGTTTCACCCAGGGGCGCATTCTTGGCCAACACATAGATGCGCTGATAGAACACCGATGTTTCCATATCCTGGAGTTCCTCATCCACATAGTCCACCAAAGATTTGCGCACTGTGAACCCTTTCTCGCGTTTCAGGGTGAAGCAGGAATGGCGAGTCAGACGATTAGCCCGGGTTTGGCGCTGACGCGGCGCCACCGAGGGGTGCTTCATCATGGTACCGTATGAAGACATCTTGCTGGTTTTGTTCGGAACTCGGAGCTCTGCTGCAAATGAGTTTCAGCTAGTTTGTTTCGTTTCTAAGAAATTTCAAGTGTGCGTAGCAACGAAATAAAATGGTTGCTAGGTTATAAAACATAAATATTGATTATTAACAGAACTCAAGTGGTAGCCTAGTTAAAGTTCGGAATGCTAGGAATGTCCATGACATGCAAGTATAACATAAAATTATACAAAAAATAGACTTTTAATACGAAAGTCACTTCTTGTGGTTTTTAAAATTATTTCTCGAGCGCAAAAGGGTAAGTGAATTCTAGCAATTATAATTGCAAGAATTCCATCAAAGGATGGGAGCATTGTACATTTTTCCCCATTCATCGGTCAAATTTTCCATAGCCAACAGTTTGAATTATTATAATTATTCCTTGCTCGATCTTAAGATCATTTCCTGAAAAATAATTTTTAGAGCCCCTTTTAAATAAGTATATCGACAAGTTAAACTATTTTTGGAGGAAGTAAACAAAGTGGATTATCCAGATTAAACTTTTAGGTTTTTCAATGAGAATTTGAATCAAACATAGTACTTATAATAAAGATCATTTTGGAATAAGTATCTTTAGCAGCGAATGTAGTTTTATCTAAATCGCTCGTTAACTGCAGTTCAATTTATGTTTTGCTTCTGCACTTAAGAAAATTATTTTCCTGAGCATTTTCGCGCAGTGTAATCAGAAAACATTGTTATCTACATATGCACACATACTCAGAAATACATACTATACGAGCATATGTTTTTGTGTGTGTACATATACGGCTTCGCTTCAATTATTATCATTTACTAGAAATCCAAGAGCTGTCTGCCGCTTAGCTGCCGCCTTTCAGCAACTTAATTTATTCATGGCACATTTATGAGCATAGTGATTGTAACTTCACCTTCAACCAGACAACGGCGCAACCAGCTGGAGCGAGGCGATCAAGCAACAACAACCAGCAACAAAGCTGAAACTTCTTCATCAGACAAAGTATGAAGGCCGTAAGCGGTAAATGGTAAACGAAAAGGAGGCAGCAGCAGCAGCAGCCACAGTTGCTCTCAACAATTTGAAACACTTGGGCATACAATATGTTAAAATGATAATGAGAGAAAATTGTTTTTCGAGTTTCTCCCCAGGTGTTTCGTAACACAAAGGCCACAATTTGCTTCAAAGCCGACTGCTGCAAGCGTAGAGTTAAGTTCCTGGGCGCCCGGTTGGGCTTCCTTGTCGTACATCTTGGGCATATCTGCTCGTCGTATACAATTTAGTTTATTGACTTGAAAGTGGCTAAGCAATTTGTGTAAATGTGTCCTGTTCCTCCTGTTTTCCTCATCTCGCCTCCAAATACTTTTGCAATTACACAATTGTTTTTTAGAAAATAACCTTAAAACATTTAACGCTTTAAGTTCTCGCGCATTTTCACTTTTCATTTGGTCCGCTGTCGGTTTCAGTTTCATTTTCACTTCTCGTTGTCTCGCTTGCGATGCAAATATATTCAAATGTCCTGCCACTACCATGCTTGTTGGATGTTGCCGTTAGCTGCTGGAAATGTCGGCAAGCCGCCACTCCCATTTGGCGTAGCTGCCTGCGCTGATTGCACTGAAGTTCTTAGTCAATATTTGCCAATTTCAATGAAATGAGAATTTGACATGCAAGCAAACATGGCGACAAACTGGGGAGACAGGCAGGCTGGGCAGAAAGACTTGGATGCATGCAAATGGTTACATGCCAACAGAATGACAGACTAACCGGTTTGCCAAGGTTGGTCGAATGGGTAGGGAGATGATATGTATGGACAAGCGAAGGTAAATTAATTGTGATGTGTTTGCAATGACTTTTTTATGTTCCCGGCATGTTTACAATCGATTGATGAGCTACTAAGACGCATACTAAAACATGAGACAGCAGCAGGATGCCAGTACCGAAGATGAAATTCGAAATTAATTCGTTTCAAATGCTCAATATTCATGTTTTCTTTGTTTTTAAAGAGAAATTATTCAATACAGTCTGAATTCGGTCAAAACGAAATGGAAATTAATGAACATTGTTTCTGATTCAGAAATACTATCAAAATATTACATTTTATAAGTGCGCAATATTTTCAAAAGTTCAACAATCATTTTCATTTTCACAGAACTGCTTTCTGTAGCATTGTTATGTATAATTTAACTTGTCGAGCTAGAATTCAGTGCATCGTTTTAAATTTCAATAGAAAAATAAGTACCGCATAAATCGATGACTATCACATATCTCTCATAGAATTTTTATATTAAAATATTTTGTATTTATATTCAAAAAGGCAAATGGTCCGCACAAGGTTATACAAGAAAAATAGTTGCCCCCTCATTGCACATACTGTTTATTGCAACAAATATTTGGGCCAAAATGTATACAATTAGTGGGTTGGGTGTCAAATTTTAATCCATTAAAATTAAATCGAATGCAAAGTTCCAATTACTTAAACGAAACTAAACAAAAGCCAAAAACAACTACAAAAACAAATTTCGTGCAATCACCACTACATACGAATATATAACCATTCGACTACAAATATATAGAATTATATATAGAGAAAGTCGTGGCTACCTCTTATCTTTATGAATACTAGATTATACATTTAAGAACGGGGGGTTATCCAACTTATAAAGTGATTGAAAGTTTATTGTTATCGCTGATGGATTATTAATCAAATTCATATGGAAAGTGTAGTCAGTACATATATACAAACATTTATGACTATGAAAATTAACTAGAACTCAACTAAACTATTATTAACCAAACGAAAACACGATTTAAGATCAATTAAAAATATATCTCATAGTGGTTGAACCTCAATATTTTAATTTCTGTTCCATTGTTTTTTATTGCAGAGCTTTTAGTTTTTTCTAAACCTTTAGTTTTACTTAATTAAGTAGCTTATAGTACTTTTTAGACGAATTAGGGGAAAATCAAACTTCCTGCTTAATTTGGTAAATCTTTTCATAATCAAGGAGTTTTTCTTATCAAGGGAAATAATAAAATGACCCTCTCGCTTTTGAATATTTCTTACTAAGCCATGTTATTATTTACTCGACCTGTCAAACCGCTTTAGTTGTCACAATTTCCAAGTCAATTATTATCTCTTTGTGGAGTCTAATCAGCTGGTGATAAGTAAAGTGTGTACGCCGCATGTAGAGGCCTGCAGTTGCAAGATAGATAAGCAATGCCTCACTCACAGCTCTTTAATCGCACCAAGTGCAGTAAAAGTGTCAGTCTCAGATGTGCGGCGTTTGAAAAATGAACGCACCAATAACTGCAGCTTTAGGAGGCCGCGTAAGTTGAAGCAATACATACATAAGTAGCAGTACTTATATTCTAAATACACATGTACGTGTATGTCATACGTTCAATTCTTTACAGACTAGGGCGCAGGAGTTGCAACAACGCATGAAAAAGCTGACGCAGCAATTAAACTTCAACTACTATTTAGATGCTGAACCTGAGAGGAAGCAGACACAGCATATACAGCCTGAAGGAATGGTCCTGCTAATTATAAAATCAAAATTGTAAAACTGCAATTCAATGCAATTAAATTTCCAATGTTAGACAATAATTTTGGCTTTGGCGACTACAAAGTTTTAATTAAATGATGTGTGCACGCAGAGACCAAACCACAGGCAATTGCACAGGTTACCAAAGTTTGTGGTCAATATAACTTTTAGCCATGAAATTGCAATGGCTAATGCATTGGCATTGGTATTGGTATTGGCGTTGGCATCTTGTGGCCAGAAATTGATTGCCTAATGGCCACCCACGCAACTTTAATCAATTAAAGCCATTAGATTCTGGTGTCGAACGCTTGTAGCGACAACTTTGGTCATTAGTTTCACTTCTTTGCAGCATTTCTTTAAAATCAACCATCCTACAATGCCAACTCGAAATGAATATAAATGACTTCCTTTTACTAATTAGAGCCGAGCGAAGGCACTGGGCCAAGGAGAACATCTGCAAGGGGCGCATGGCAGCTCAAATTGTTAGCCTGTTAACCCTCGTGCTTTGGCGCGTACTTCTAATTAATTGCCTGACCGCTAACTAGAGAAATGGACAGCCTCAAAAATTGAGCGAAAATCAATAGAGACTTAAGCCATGTGGTCATACTTTAGGGTCCGAGTCTCACCGCCCTGACAACTTAATTATGCTTTTTATTTATGCGCCAGCATGCGCGTCACAATTAGAAATACAAACAAACACAATACGCGGTAGCATCCTTTTGAGAGGACAATACATAATTTTATTGTTTCGCCAATGTAAGCAAATTCGTGGCTAAAACTTTTGTTTGGCATTTTATGCTTTCATTTCTGTTGTTGTTAATATTGCCAGAGAATAAATAAAGTTATTTGATTATGAAACAGCAGTGGGAACTGAAGCCGTACCAAATGAATTCAATTGCCTGTCAATGCTTCGCTGCGCAGACAAATCATAAACATTTCATAAAGGAACCAATATGCGTGCTTTATGGAAAGATTCCTAGGGCATAACTTCCTCCTCCAGAATGAAAGTGGTCAGTCAAGCACACAAGCTTCATGTTCATGTAGCTGAACAATACGAGCAGCTACCGATTCATACATATTGTATGCTCGTACATAAGAAACCACGAGCTTGCCTTCAATTGTGCGAAAAAGTAACATATTCTGCTATTGTATGTCGCCAGTTGACCCTTTCTGTATACCCTTCCCTTTGAGTTGGCGGGTTCGTTGCGTTACACAAGAAAGTTTGTAACCCATTGAAGGAGCGATGCTGTTTGTTAATTAATAAAAATAATTAATATACATACAAGTCTCTACTACTAGCGACCTATGAAGATTACTTCATATATATTAAAGAATATGTAATAGAATCGATTGGTTCCAACAAGGAAATAAGCAAGAAGTTAGGTGTCTGTTGGTAATATTTGGTAACTTTGGCCAACAAGTTAGGTGCAAATACTAAACAAAGAACAAACAATAGAAATTCTTTTGGAATTAATATTCATAGCTAATTAAAAAATCGTAATGT